AATTTTAAACCGACTTACGATTTTTTCAATCGCTTTTTGTATTCGAATCAATATTATTATTATTATTATTATTATTATTATTAATTATTATTTATTTATAAACAATGTTATAAACAAACCTATTTAGGTGTGCGTGTGCGTGTGCGCGTGCATTTTTTAACAAAACTTTTTTTTTTAGTCACATTCAATAAATAAATAAATAATTAATTTTTTTATTATTAATTTTCAATAAGGTAGAAAATAACATTCCCTGAAATTTTTCACATAAATATTATCATCATCATCATCATCATCATTATTATTATTATCAATCAAGGAAACTACAAAATAAAATTTATAAAAAATTTATATATATATTTTTATTCAATTGTTTGTTTGTTTGTCTTATTTTAACACAACACATTATGTTTTTTTTTTAAATAAATTAAATTAAATAATAATAATAATAATAATAATTATAAAAAATAATAATAATAATAATAAAACAAGAATTTTTGAAAAGCTCAAATAGTAAAAATTTTCTTCTAAGGAATGAATAATACCTTTAAAAAATTTTTTTTATTTTTTTTTTGAAAGGCTCAGCCTCGCAAAAAATTAAAAAAAAAAAAAATGAAGATGAAAAAACACTCGCTGCGAATATATATAAATATGTACATTGCATATTAATAATAATAATAATTTGAATAGATCGATCAATCAATGAATCAATCAATCAAATATTTTATATACTGTACATAATTAAAATAATCGAAAAATTAATTTTTTTTCTCAAAAAAAGCATCGAATGACGTCATCAATCCTTATTTATTAATTTTCGATTTATTTATTTTATTTTATTTTTTTTTAAACAAAATAAGTCAGAATACAACCTGAAATGATAAAATAATGACGTCATAAACCTTAAAAAATCACGATAAAAATAAAAATAAATTAAATATAATAAATTCTTACCAGAGCTCTCGAGGATTTTGTCACAAATGATTCCATTTAAAAAAAAAATGGCGTCTTACGTAAAAACAAAATGGCGTCTTATGTAAAACAAAATGGCGTCTTATGTAAACAAAAATGGCGTCTTTTGTTTACAAAAATTTTTTTTTTTGTATTTAGCAAATGATGTATATAAATAAATTGTACATAACAAAAAAATAAAAAATATCTGAAAAAATAAATAAATAAATAAATTTTTATATAATTAAAAAAAAAGTTTTAATTATTTATTTTAATAAAAAAAAAGAAAAAAACTTACACTTCGGTCACGTGACCGAATTCGGCGCGTCCCATAATTTTCAATGATATTTAATCTTATTGTTTTCCCTCGTCTTTTCATTTATTATTATTATTATTGGAGGTAGAACTCTTTCACTTTCACTAGCGCGCATCATCGAAAACAAAATGAAAAAATGCTAAAATTATAAATAAATAAATAATAATAATAATTGTTAATTTTTAGAAGTAGTAGTAGGCGAATAATGGCGTTTGATACCTACAAAAGTGACTAGCATAAAACAGGTTGAGCTCGTGGAGCAAAAAAAAAGTGATTAAATAAGTATCGGAGGTGGCGGCCTTTCACTGACACCCCTTGTCCTACTTTTTTCTATCCTCTTATGAAGTCTTTGCCAAGCTGGTTTTTTCGTCGGTCTCGCCGGTCCGAAAGATGAATTTTTCCAATTATATTTATGTTTGAAAAAAGGACGAAATTCTCTCGGGGGTCCAATTTTATCACGATGTTTAACCCAATTCGCCGGACATTGTACGACGTCTCTCCAATTACCGAGATTGATTCCTAACCTTTGACATCCGTGAGCATATGCCGTCAAAGACTCGCAATAACACATTTTATTCGGACATTCGCACATATCCATTATGCATGATCTTAAGCAAACAAATTATGATAATAATAATTAGGGGAGTAAAAACAAGTACTCGGTATCGTCGATTTACTCGAAAGGGAATTTTAAAGTCCCTTTTAGAAAATCCCTTTTGGCAACCTGACTTACCTGAGGTAGGCAACGTCATTAATTTTTTTTCGGCATCCTTCAAAAACTTTTGTTTTTATCATAATGCATCTTTCCCAATTTTCTCTTTTTGTACTATTTGACGAACATTCCATTGCTTTGTTTATTTTATCGTGGTCTCTACCACACGCTTTTTTACCGCCCACTCTCCACGATAGACCTAACACGTTGGTATCATTTGTCAAACTGTAAAAATAAAATGATAACGTTATCAAACAAATGGTTTTTATTTAAATATCATTTTTTATAAATTATAAATTCCGAAGTTATTTTGCGGGGGTGGTGTTTCGTTTATTTATTTATATACAATAATAATAATTTATAAAAAAAATTAAATTTTTTTATTTTTCTTACTTTCCATCCCTCGTTCTGAGATCATCCCTCGTTACCGAATTAAAATTTCCACAGAGTCCGCACAATCTATTTTTATATTTAATCGGTGCTGATATTTCTAAAAAACTATTTCCGTTCCATAAAACCTGTATACCTATGGCAGTCTTAACTAGTATGCTTTCATCTGTTTTTTCAATTGCGATTTGATTTTCTTTTTTAAATGGCGGTTTCACTCTTTCTCCATTTATTTTAACTCTCATTTTTTGCCCGAGATTAACTTTCAAATCTCCAATCTGTAACAAAAAAAAATGTCAATCAAAAAAGAAAAGTAAGAAAAGTTTAAAGTTTTTAAAAAATAATTATAAATAAATTTTTTTTTGTACCTTAATGGAAATCGTTTTCGTCCAAGATGACGTTTTTGTCGATCTTGCGTCGTTGGTGACACGTATCGAAAATGTTCTTCCGACGCAATCTTCCGATAATAAATATTTGCAAGAACCCTGAAAGCTGAAAAATTTTCCGTCGAATGTTTTATAATGGGGATCCCCGAAGACCGTGCACACTCCATCGCTTTCCACACATTTCGGACAACACTCCCCCTTTTCGTGTATCAATTTTTGATTTTCCGGACAGGGCGTATTTGTTTCAGGACACATTTCTCTGGCGCAACGTGGAGCTCCCTTGTAACAGGTACACGACATGCACGAATCAAGATGCCAAGATTCGCCATCCTGCCTAGGAAACATTATGTTACAGCATTCTACTAAGTCTTAAAAGGGGATTTAAATTTATAATATATTAAAAATGATGAGATTTTTTTGTTAAAACTACTCGCCTCATACGTTTTCCCGTGAACCATACATATAGCACGACTTTCTTCCGTCGGCGGACAATGAGGACAACAATCTCCCGGTGTCGTTTCTTGATTTTCAATCGGACACGTGAGTACGGGACACGTTTTTCTCTCGCACAAATTAGTGCCGTTCATGCACGTGCAATTAGTGCACCGATCGAATATCTCAGAAGCTCCAGGTTCGAAAACTTTGGTACGAAGAAGGCATGAACCTTTGGTTAATTCTACTAATATTCTATTACCACGACAAATGGGACAACATTTTCCCGGCAAGTGAACTATTTTATGGGGTGGACATTGCAATACCGGACACGCTTTTTTCGAACACGTCAAACGGCCATCGTAACACCGACATTTCAAACACAGATCATCCGGTGTGGTAACCTCCCTTCCTTCAGGTACAAGTTGACCGTTGAACAAGCAACCTGCTTAAAAAAAAAATTTAATATTCAAATGAATAAAAAAAAAAAAAAACAAAATTTATATAAGCACACACACTCTTCAATCTATAATTCGTAATTATTGATTTATTTTTTTATAAAGTAATTTTAGTGCCAAAATAATTTATAGTTTTAGAAAATTCGTTTTTTTCATTTTTAAACTGGTTAAAAAAAAATTTCAAATCGATTTGAAAGAAAAAAAAAAATTTATTTTTTTGGGTAAACCTAAAATTAAATTAATTTTGCAATCATTTGCCTTCAGTCAAGTATGTTAATTTCGTATAACGCTCTTTTTTT